GCTGAACAAACCCAGGGACCTCAGCTGCTCCTCATATGTCTTCCCCTCCAGACACTTCACCATCTTCATTGCCTTCTTTGGCTGCTCTCAAATATTTTTATATCTTTCTTATATTCTGGTACCCAAAACTGCACACAGAATGATGGTGATGTATAGTGATGTAAGTTAATACTTATCTTCAGATAGGATCTACTAAGGCAGTGTCCTGCGCAGCAAGAGGCATTTCCTTAGTTTCCTTAGATTTTATGTACTTCCGCTATTTAAGTTACAACAGTATTGAAGGGACTTATCATAAGATCAGAAACTGATATCCAAATAATAAAGAAGATACAGACAGAAAACAGAATGTAAAATTATCATGAAATTACTAAAAAGTGCTTTGTATTGAAAAATGGAAGAAAAAAAGAAGAGATCAAAAGAGAAAAAAAATGAAAGAAAAGGGGTGAGAGAAAGAAGGGAGGAGAGAGAGAAATTAAGAGAAGAGAAAGAATATGAAACTAACCTTACTCACAGTCAAAATGTCATTCAGCGATCTTGTTTTCATTCCTAGAGAGTACCTGTATTAAACCCATTTTTATTAAAAGTGGGGTTTGCTGCCCAGCCTGCCTTCACCTTCTAAATATATATATATATATAGACACACAATCAATCTTTCAGTCCTGATCAGAATAATTCATTTCAAATCCTTTTTCAAAATTCCTTTTTTTTTTTTTTAATCCAAGACTTGTTTAGAATTTCTATACAAATTTACGAATATCAAGACCTTGAACTTCACTGTAGGTGTTTCCAAACAGGTTGCATTGGAAAAAAAGAAAAAGGAAAAAAAAAAAAAAAAAAAAAAAAAAAGGACCTTAGATATAACTTGCAAATATGACACACCTTTTAAATAATATTTTTTGGAGTTTTGCTGATGAAGAATAAATACCCAATATAGCTAGGAAACATTGCTGTAAGTTAAATTTGCGACATACCTGTACTTATACACTTGGATAAATATCTATTGGGCGTGTCTAACCAAGCACACTCTCTTACATGCTTTACACTTACACACATATTTTGAAGAGTATTTATCAAACTCTTCAAAACTGATCCAGAAATTAAACAGGTTTTCTTCAGTAATTAATGCATCAGTAATATAATTATTGGTAAACTTCAGTTCCTCCACTACCCAGCTTTCCTAGCTTCACTTTGAGATTCAGATACACCATAATCCGAATATTTTACAAATCCAGATTAAACAAAAACACACACACAAAAAAAAACCTTGTTTTCCTTTTTTCTGACTTCTGTAAAATCACTGAAACTTGGTGCTCTTTTAGTCTCAGCTAAGGGAGTTGTTGATTAAAACTATTTTTACAAAAGCCTTGCTTCTTTAAATGAACAGAGTGTAAACTGATTTTAGGTGTTTTTGTATCTTCTACAAGGGGCAAAATATGCAATAGAATACAGAAACTCCACTTTGGAAAAATGGATGACTGAGATCAAATATATGATTTTTCTCTCTGCTTCCCATGAGTGTCTCACATAGTTTAAATACTACTAAATATTTGCTACTTGGGTATATTTACACAGAATCATTCTTCTAAGCTCCCTTGAAAGTCAATGGGAGGTTTCTGGTTGACTTCACTGAGGTAAGGATGAGGTATTATACAGCCAAAAAGTGTTCTTAGTGATTCACGTTTGGTGTGCACATACTCAATTTTCAAGTCTTATTCTTTAACATCTCCTTCTGAGACTAAAGAAATACTATAAAGTTTGTATCTTCTCCACAACCTCTATCTTAATGAGTGAGGAAGGAAACAAGAGAATAACACTGAAGTGCTTGGCACTGTATCCTCTATTTCTGCCACCTAGAAATACCACAGAAATCTTTTTTTTGCTGCATAGAAACAAGATTCATCTAGCCTACATTACAAAAGTGATTAAAAGAAGGGAATTAAACTGACTTAAAATACAACTGTGTGAGAGAATCCTAACATACATTTGACACCAATGTATACCTCTGATATATACATATATTTAATATATTCTGTCTTCTCTAACCTTTGTTCAATGAAATTCTAACACCTTGACGTGCAAAACAGAACCAAAGTAAGCAATTCTTTGCAAAATACTTCAGTCAGGTTAGAGCTGATGAGGCTCTCCTTCATTCTGGAGGGTATCTGAAGAGTATCTCACAAGTGTTTGAATTACAGGGACTTTTTATCAGTGGTTTTAAATTTTAGAGAAATTTTGACAATAATTTAAGTTTATAAAAATCTCTCCACATCGCTGTTTATATTTGTAAGTTCGCTAGTGTAGAATGTGAAATAAAATAGTATGGCAATCAATGTCAAGAGTTCAATATTTTGGATTTATTCGCTGTCTATCATTAAAGAGTTATGCACTTTGAAGAAGTGTATTCCAGTGTGGTACCTCCTCGGTAGCCTTTTCCATAGCTACAATTTTCCTACTGTGCTGCCAAGCATCTGCATATTAATAAGTAACAGCATTTAATGAGAGGAAGCACTCCAAAGTTACACACTTAACTCACTGTCTTTATTCACTGTATCATAGTAAAAACGTACACTTATGCCAAAGGGAAGTTATGCCTTTAAACTGCAACTATAAATTGCAACTAACATGCTGAAGCAAAGATGTCACAGTTATACATAATTACCATTTCTACAGGAGCCTGTTTCCTGTGGTGACAGTAACATATTTAAAAGATACCATTTTCAGTCTTTGATGTCACTTTTTTCATACAAAACTGTGGTGTTTTTTTTTCCACGAAGAACCCCATTCAACAGCCCAGTCTTATCCAGTAAAGCACTTAAGCATATGCTTAGATCCCATTTATTTCAAAAGAACATAGGCACATGATTATGATTTTTTTCTGAAAAGGGATTGAACTTAAGTATATGTTTCAAATGCTTTGTCATATTGAAACCTAAAACAGAAGCATGAGTCCTAACTGCAATACTGCTCATGCTCCCTGCTACCCAGGAATTTTAGCAACAATAAGTTTTATCAAGTTTTATAGGTTTATTTTTCCAAATACTGTTTTAGTATCATTTTGTCTTATCACGTACCACATGCTGTAAGCTTATTACAAGCCAACAAAAAGTTTGAAAAATATTAAGCTTAATCATATTTGAATCTTTAATACTGTACCAGTGCTCCTCATGGCTTAAAGACCATAAGCTTTAAATACCACAGAAGCTTTTTTTTTCCCTCATATTTGAAATGAGAATGCTAAGAAAGGTATCTGCTGCTTACACAACAGGTTGTAAACCAGAAATTCACAGAGAAGCCAGGGGAAAAACTCTTCCTACATCTAATGTATTTCTCTTTCTACCCTTTGCTTTTTCTTATATACTGTAATAAAAAAGGTGTTTTCCTAGATAAATACCACAGGACAAAGAATACAGTTTGATTGGCTCCCTTATGCTACCAATTTTATTTCCAGCAACCTAGCCATAAACAGTGCCCAGATTGCACAGCAAAGGAAACCATCACCTATTCCCCTTGTAATAAATACCTCTATATTACTCAAAAACTGGGGAAACTTCCTAAACAACCTAATCACAAAAGTCACCCTTTATAGAAATACTTACTGTCCAATGTCTCAGTGTTTATTTGTTGTGTTGGATGGTTGGTTGGTCTTCAATTAACATGATTATTCTAGCAGTTTGTGGCTGTTTTAATATTTATACATTAAGGGTGTCACACAAGGAAGGCTGTCATCATTATTCTTCCAAGAGAAAATTGGGTGCAGTTTTCCTCAGGGCCCTTCAGTGATTCTCATGAGTAGGGTAGACCATAACGGCTGTTGAGGTACATACAATGTGTTGCCTCTTCTTCATAAGCTGTTTACATTTTCTCTCAGGATAATTTGTTACAGCTAGAGCACAGAACTGAAAATTCAGAAATATATATTCCATTTCTCACTGGGCCACAGACTTCCTATATGGATCTTGAACAAATTGTTTTACTTATTCTGTTTCTGCCTTTCACATCTGAAACGCAGAGATAAAAGCAACAGGAACACTTCAAGACTTACTTCATTAAAATTGGCAAAGAACTTACAGGTCATTGAATGGAGGCTGCTGTAGATTAACATATTAAAAGTTTTCATATTTTATTTGTGACCTATTTTAATTGATTTAGGATGCTTCCAAAATAGAAGCAACAGAAAAATTTAACACTATGTCATTGGTATAGATGTCTAGTTTTATAGACCAGTAAGTGTAACTGAAAGTTATGAACAGGTTTCCTCTATTTGGGCTGTATACCCAATTACTAACATACACTTTGGGAATAACCTTCTTCAGATGGAAAGTTAAAATGAAGCTAAATGCAATATAAACACTTACACACACACATTACATATAGAAAATATGTGCATGGAGTACTAGTTGAAAGAAAGAAAAGCATTCCCTTGATTGTGTTACAAGGACATAGTTCTTCAAGCTCAAAGATAAATTGTAGAAATGCTCTGAAAATAAATGCTTGTAATTAACTAATATGAGATTTTATATAAGATCCTTTGTTTAAAAAGTGTCTTCTTGTTAACGTACTGTGGTTAAAACAAAATAAAATAGGTAGCATAGGAAGAAAAGACGTATTTGTATTTTTAAAAATAATAAAATCTGCTTTATTCCAATGGCATTTTTCCTCATTTTTTTTCCTTTTAAAAATAGAAATTCCATTTTCCTGTCTGAATTCAAAATGATTGACTGGAGCACAATATTAAGTAATAAATAAAACAGTCCCAGTGCCTGAAAGACTCCTGAATAAAGAGAAAATTATTTTTGGATTTTCCTTCTGATCAGATATGAAATATTCTGAAACGCCACCTCTATAATTTGATAAAAAGCTTGATATCCCCAAATGAAAATAGGATTCAGCACTTTCATTTTTCTGTCTCTAAAGGAACCTCTAGGTAAACTGATTTTAAAAAAATGAAAATCTCAAGCATAAAGGTGGGAGTAATGAAGCAAGTTTAAATATGCGCTGACCTTTGAAATGAACTGCATTCCATGTTGTTTGGCCAAGAAGCTGGCTGTGTTGCTGTCTCCATCAATTTCCACAGCATGAAAGATGTGGGTTTTGGAGCTGCCCTGCTCTCTGGTGGATGTTGATAGGCATCGCTGCAAATACACCAGTGCTGATAGTAACAGCCTTATGTTCATTGCTCTGAAATATTAAAAAGAAATCCACAAGGGATAAAAGTGTAAGCATCTTCTTTTGTTGTTGCTGTTCACCATAGGAATTTACCCAGAGGTGGCTGTATTTTATTTTCCCCTTGTTTGGTTAAAAAAATAAAATCCTACAATGTTTTATTTAGTAGCAATATTAAAATAAAAAGAAGAAAGCAAAAAGAAATGTATTATTTTTGGAAGCTAAGAGTAATATGCTGTTTGACAGCATCTAATAGCAAAGAAATATTATGTGATTTTATTCACAAATTCGCACACAAATTCAGAAACTGATATGTACTTTATTATGCACTTTTAGTTATATAATTATCTCATTTTTCCACTCTGGTTTTATTATCTAAGTTTCACTAGTTTTATTTACTAGTGATGTGCTAATCTGAAGCTGTTCACTAGACCAGCTTCAAATGGCATTCTTTTAGTAATCTCAGTATTTGATATCAACATGGAAGATTACCATTTGAGTAGTTTTAATAACAACCTAAACAATCTAAATATTTGTACCTGTTCTTAATATTTCCTTTTTTATTATATATCAGTAACATGTCCTATTAGATACCAGTTTTAAAGAGAATCTTATGATCTAATCATATATTGCTTAATGAATGATAGAAATATGGCAAGGTCAAGATTATACATTTGAGAAGTACTGCAGGTATCTTAATTAAGCAATAATCATACCTGGCTGAAAATTTATTCTGTACATGCTAACATTAAAGCACTAGATCCTAGCTTTAAAAATATGACAGCAGCAAGTAACAAAATCATCCTAAGTGACATCCTAATGTTTCAACTGTGATGAAACAGGGGTAACATTTAAGTAGATGTGCTATTAGTTGAAAACAGTGGTAGAACTCCAACTAACTTTTCTGCCTATACTCCCACTCTTTTATGTATGTGTTAAGATCTGCACACTACTAGAATTAAAGTATTAACATTAAAATGGATGAGATAATACAGTTTTGCATGTTATAGGTGGTCATGTTCATTTACATGCTTGCAATGTTTGCAGTAATTATTATTCAAATAGTCTTTTAAAATAGCAGTTCGAAGTTATCAGGGGGACTATAAAAATATGTAGAAATAAGCCATTGTATCAATCTAATCTTTGAAGATATACATCTCTCTTTACTAAGCCATATCTTTCAATTGCATCTTTCTTGGAATATCCAGAACTAACACAAAGCAGCCAGTAACTGAATTCCCCCCAACACACACACACACACACACACACACACACACACACACTCACACTCACACTCACACTCACTTTCACACACTTGTAGCTTTTTTTTTTTAATATTAGGTGCAAATTAAGGTGCAACAGAAAAAAGTTTATCTTGTATCTTACAGTCCACAATAATATAAACCTATGATGTTTAATAAGCACTGCCAGACTGAAAAAATATAGTTAACATACCTGCAGTTAAAGATATAAATCAGATCTTGACTGAGATCCTACCGGATAGATACTTTTGAAAAAGCATAGTAAAGCGTGTCATATGGAATCCCTACTAACTGTGTTTGAGCATTTCTGGATTCAGATTGCAACCTGAAGCATAGACAGAGCCTGACGGAGTTGAGGGATTTTTAATCCAGACATATGTAGCCTAGATTTCGAAAATTCCTATTCAATTTTAGCTATACATGTACTACTAGTATATATAGTATATATACTATACTATATATGCTATACTCTCCACTATATATAGTATATACTATATATACTACAGTATATATACAGTATACAGTAGGGATACTGTATACTGTATATAGTAGGGACACCACTCGTCTGCTTATTGGTGTTTTTTGGAACACTGAATATTGAGGTAGTGGGAATTGTGATTTCTTTCTTTTGTCTAGCTAAGCAATCAGATTACAGCCCTATAAAATGATGCCCAATAATCAATGGAAGGGAAAACATTAAATTATGGAAGACTAAGTTTCTGCAAGTAAGGAGATGAAAATTTCACCAAGTATTGTCTAGGACAATGCATGAGGTTGAATATTTCTTGTCTTGCTGTTTCTTCTGCTAATGCAGTTCTACTGTGTAGGGACTATATAGTTATATGGTGATCGAGTCAAAAAAAAAAAAAATTACAGTTCAGTCTATTCTAAACATTATTCAGAATGTATATCAACCAATGTCTTCTAATAACAATTCTAATACATTCTAGAGGTATGTCAATCTTTTTGCCTAGTTATTTGAACCATTTCAGTTGGCAAACCATCTTGGGTGGACAGAGCAGTCCTTTTGTCACTATCTTTAAGAATAAACACTGGAAGAAATTTTCCAGTCAGGCACAGACAGCTTAGGGCAATGTAGCCAGTCCATGTTTACTGTACACTGAAGTCTAGGGGGTGTACAGAGAAATTGGGACTGCAGAGAGAAGTAGAAAAAAATGGCATTGATAATGCAGTGCTCTCTGTATAATTGTGCAAAATAAAATATTTCCAGAATTAGCAATCAAGATTACTTTACCTAGAATGCCCTGGATCATAAGAGCATTACTTTGGGAAAATTAAAAATAGAGGTTTAACCCCCTACAGACAGAGTATAGATAGTTTTCAGTAAGAAACTGACTCCACTGTGGTTTCGATAAAAACGTTTTGGAGATACTCCTTTCCTCTGTTAATTCCTTGATATTCACTTTACTACTTTTAAAACCAAACTTTTTTCTAGTACTGATGTAGAGATTTTCATAACATACTAATTTTTTTAAGCTGACAGGATTAGTAAATTTGTCCTGACCTGACTGGAGACACCCTGCAGATGATTTTTTTCTGAATACCAATCAATATTAAAAAAATGATAATAATAAATTAAATAAAATTACAGAAAACAAAGTATATACAGAAACACAATGCAAAGATGTCTGAGAAGCATTTCTTATGTACTAGTGGCTTATGCTAGCAATTACTAAAAGAAGAAAACAAAATACTAAGTGATTAAATGAGAAAAAATATAAAAAGCAATAATAATTGAAAACTCATGCTATTTATATATACATTAGGAAGCTTCAGCCACAAATATAAAATTAGCCATATGTGACATCAAGACAATACTTAGAAAAACACTTGATTGACAATCTGGAGAGAAAAAAAACACACGCACACAATTAGGATAATTTTAGAAGTCAAAACATGGACCCTGTTTTTGAAAACAGATGGTAATCCTGCAAATGTATATTTTCACATAATAATTCTACTTTTAATAATTTTTCTTTCTGCAAAAGTACCAACTGACAGGATTCTTGCTCCCAAGAAATTACATATACATCCTAGAAAGTGGAATCAGTAAACACACTCAAACACATCTTCAAAACTAAAGTCAACAATTTAAGGAATATTTTATAGGTACAAGTACTAACTGGATACCTTCACACTAATGAGGCTGGAGGAAACCAAAGCAGGTATGATACATCACTATTAAAAAAAATCAGATACATGGTGAGTAAAAGAGACCTAATTTTAAGAATTAAACTAGGAATTGAAGAGGTGAGGTAATAGTTTTTAAAAACAGATGTTGCCTTCAAGACAAAAGTGAGAATTGTAAATGAGGTTCTGTGAGCTAGACAGTAAAGCAACATCAGTAAAAATGCATCAAGTAATGTAGGCAAACACACTATTAATATGTATTCACATTTTAAATGATAGTTTAAAACCATTTTGTTGAACTGTAAAACCCTGAAGAGGACTTCCATGTTGTCCTCTCCTGAAACATCACAGTTGATGCAGTCTTCCATATTTCAGATTAAAAGTGTTTGGAACACTATTTCATTCATCACGTGAAGAAAATACATCAATGGGTGGCCTTTAATATATTGAAATAGCAAAGCAGAAACAATAGTATGAAGATGGGGTGTCTACGACTTAATGTTTCTGTTTCTTTGTGAAATACAGAATGGCAGCAAAGAAAAGGAATCAACTTGTTATGGAAGCAAAGCATACATGTAATTTAAAACTTTTTTTTTTTTAATTTTAGAGCACAAGTTAAACATGACTTATATTGGATAGTTTTACCCCAATTACCCTGAAAACAAAGTGTATGAGGAAAACATTTTACTTATTTTGCCTATAAAAAACTTCAAGCACTACATGAAAACATTTGGATCTCACCCAATGGGGTATGGAAAACGGACTGAAATTTGGCATGAGATGAACATTTACCCAAACTTGGACAAGATAATAAGGCTCTGAAAACTGCAGTCACAACAAGCTCAGGAGAAGCATTTACGAGTTGAGAGCTCAGATTCCACCTCTGCAGAGAAATTCCCATCCCAGGACCGATCCTGTATTTCACCTATAATGCAGTTTTCCTATGTCCCAATCCATACAAACAGACTGTCTCACCTACAAGGAAAGTACAAGCAAAGGGTAAATTGCACAAAGGAGGATCTGTGTGGCTGTTGAATGGGAGAATAGATTTCAAATGACTGCTGTTTGGTATGAGTGAAACTGGACATGAATGTGGAAGGCCTTTAACTGACTGATTAGGATGACTCATTGGGTCCTGAGCTGACAAAGTTGGTCGATTGAAGTAACATGAAGTGCAACTAGAAAAAGAGTCAGGAGAAACAGTGAGTCTGGAAAGGTTTGGTGTTAGATGAAGTGAGTGATGTTTGGTGTTAGATGAAGTGAGTGAAGTCTCCCTCCCCACACACCTGAGTGATGTGGGGAGGGAGAGATCAAAGAGGAGAACCAGAAGAAAAACAGATTTGCTGATTGCACAGAAACAAATATGGCAAGGAATCTCATGTGGCAAGGAATATGCTCATTTGGCAAAGAATCTCATGATTATCTGGGAAAAGAGACTCAGGACAGGGATATTAACTCTGAGAGAGGAAAGGAGGAGAAAGACCAAGTGACAACAAGGAAAACTTGACCAGGCTGTAAAGATTAAAACTTCAGGTTTGCTCTCCTCCACAGACTGAAACCAAGTTCTGACTTCCAGATCTTACCATTCCACTGAAACTGGAA